GATGGATGGATAGATGGATGATGGATGGATGGTGGATGGATGGATGGATGGTGGATGGATGGATGGATGGATGGATGGATGATGGATGGATGGATGGATGGATGATGGATGGATGGATGGATAGATGGATGATGGATGGCCGACAAAGGGAAGGAGAAGTAGAGGAGCCTGGTGTGGCTGTGCTATTTCTTTCTCCTGTCCCTTTTCTCTTACTGTTTCCACAGAAAGTGAATTGAGGCTCTCCCTGAAGGGCCATCTCTGGGCATCAGCAAAGGTGCCAGAATCCCCTGTGGCTGACGTCCCCTCCCAGCTGTTGGCTGAGAAAGGACAGCTTTAACACCTCCAACTATGGATCTGTAACATTTACAAGAAAGTGTAGAGAAAAGAATGTGTGCTTTATTTCATTTTTGTTGCTTACTTTCTTGATTTGGACCCCTGAAACTCAGTTTTTTTCTCGCTTTTCTCAACAACGCCCCGAGGTGTTTTTTCAAAAATTGAGATTCAGTCTGATTCGTATTGGGTTACCCAAGTGGAAGAAGTTTCATGTTCACCTGATGGCTGCTAGCAACACTAAAACCCCTTTGTATTCCCTCGTTTAAAAGCTGGCTGACCTGACAGTTTTGCTCAGGCATGTGCTATTTAATGGAGGATTCACAAGAGAATTGCTATTAGGAATGAAATGAGCATAAACAGCATTTGCGGGAACAACGGTAGTATGTCCATCATAACACAACTGAAGTGGTGTTTTTAGAAACCCACCAAATACTTGAGTTCAAATCAGACACTGGAATGCCTTTGGGCAAGCTCCGTCTTCCCATGCTGACTTGTCTGACATGCAGTCACCATCAAGATTCTAAGCCGATAACTCAGTCCCAGTTCCCTTTCATCTGCCAGGTGCCTTTGACTTTACTGGTTACTCCCTCCTCAAACTCTTGATTGTTTTTGACTCCTCTGACTTTTTCCTTTCATAGATATTTTGGTTTTGCTCACAAATGCTACGGCAGTCCTTTCTTCAGAAGATCCTTACAATCTACCTTCCAGCTTTGTACTAAAGTGCTGTGTTGTTCTGCACTTGGTCCCAGTTTCTTTCTTAATATAAATAGTTTACTTCAAAGTGATTCCTTCCTGGTAATCCAAGGTCTTCCTGCCTTCCCAGCCTATTTCAAATAGAGAAAACATATTTGCTTTTTAGGCTCCCTTACATCACACTCCCTTCAGCCTATCCTGCTTTCGCTGGCACTGGTGTCACCGTATTAAAACTAGAGCAACAAGTAATCACTCAAGGAATCAAGTGTTCTTCTTGATACTGTTTATTCAGCAGAGTTTTGTAAGTCAGACACAGAATTTCTTGAAACAGTTATTGTGGAGCACCCACACGCAAAGATGTGCAGAGCACAGAAGTTATTAAAAGAATATTCAAGAAACCTGTCTGACAGTCACGTGATGACAGATTTCCTCATGGTGTGATGGGGGCTTTTTTGGGGTACATTTTGCTTTCAAAAAAGAAGAAAGGCAGAACTACTCATGCTTCTCAGCTGAGTTGTAATTTTGTGGTTTCTACAGGTGTAGAACTGAGTCTTTACTGGATAGTCAAGTACAATTCCATTGCCTGAAGAGTCTTGAAGATAAGTAAAATTATTAGATAAAGCCAGCAGACTCCTGGAAAGGTGTGCTGCAATCCCTAATCCTATATCTGAGGGAAAAGGAGTCAGCCAACTAGCAGCAGTGGCATGTGCTTAGTACAGCAGTAGCACTACTGGCACAGCTGAATGCTAAAGGTGAGGATTTGGGGCTGCTGGAGCTCTGCCCACAAATCAATGCTGTGTATTTTTGAACAAAAAGAAAAGTAAACTTACTCAAAGGTAAACCTAGACTTCTCATTCCAGAGCACACCTGCTAGTTTGGAAAATAGACCACCCACTTTAACAGTTTTTCCCTCTGTCCCAGTAGCATAGAAGAGTTTTACTCAAACAACATTTAAGTAATCAACCTTTGGTGGAAAAGGATTTGATCTGCACTGTGTTCATATAGCTACTTCATATAGCTATTTGATCTGCTGTGTTCATATAGCTTCAAAGATGCTGAATTCCTATAACTTCCCTTCCT